AAGAGCAAAGGTCATCTAGGTCTGGGTTAGTGTGCCTGCACGCAACTAGAAGAATAACATAAAGGGCCAATTATGTCAGTTTTGTTGGAGGACACGGACTAGGGTAGTTAGTCATAGGACATACAACTCAGCTAAGTCTGTATGCAATGGATTTTTTAAATTTGGTCACAAAGTAAGATATTGTGTGAAGTTGTTGAAAATGAATGCTGAATGCTAGCCAAACCAACAATCGTGGTGGAGTGATCCTAATATTAGAAGATTGATCATAAGATGGTGAGTCATCAACCGAGTTTTACTAAGGCAAGGGAAAACCATCATGGACTGATCATTCCAACCCATTGAGCTGATTTACGCCGTCTATCACTGTAAATATCAGTTAGTTTCATCCATTCAGAAGAGGAAGGATCAAACTTTCCAAAAGTAACAAACGTTTGTTGGGCCAGTGGTATATCACTGAGTCCAAGTCAGGTCATCAGGCAGTCGGATCACTGAATGTCGAACGGTTCATTGGTCCCTGTCAAGGTCAAGCACAACCAACGCCATGGACTAGTCCGTGCGGTGATGGCCTCAACTTCTCCCTCGTTCCTACTTGTAGTAACATCCTTTGTGTTATACGGTTTTCAGGGCAACCATAGTGCCTTGTTACGATCAAGGAGTAATCCGTGTGAGGTGCTGACTGCGAGGTGTGACTTTGAGGTTTGCTCTTGGTCACAACATTTCTACCTAACTCGGTTAGATTCCTTAATCATTCAACATAGGTAATCTATGTTAGTGATCTACATGTTTCTAACAAACAGGGAACCTGGTTTGTATCTAGTAGGTCTATAAATTTCTACCGACCAAACAGTAACAATAAAAACACGCAGTCACTCAATTTGTTAGCCCTCGAAGTCTAATGATAGAATAAAATGAAGACAGTCAGTGAGAAGCTATATAATATCAAGTAAAAGGATCGTAATCTAAATTTATACGCCAGCAGAGTGACAATTGTCATACGAAAAATTAAAAAAGCTTACAAATAAAGGTACCACACCTTACGTATAAGGGCAAGTATGACTTTTGTGCTGATCGATAATTCCCCTATACATTAATGTGCACCTAACTGATATTGCAAATAAAATATTATCGATTATACTACAATTTTTCTCATTATCTATTTGCGACGATTAAATATATTGAGTTCGACTGCTTCAGATTATCACAGTAAACCAAAGTGTCAATATTACATGAAATAGTATATGAATTCAGCAAAAAATACAAAAACGTTTCATAACAAGGAAAACATTCAAATATTCACAGGAAAAAACACATATTGCCAGATTCTTTTATATATTCTCACAGAACCATACAAGATGAATCCTACGCCTGAGCCCAAAGTCCCTCCATGTACCACAGTATCACCCTAGATACATTCCGTAATAACCACACAAGATGATTAGACAAAGCCGACAAGACTTCTAGGACATCAAATTCAACTACAATGGATGGAAAGTACTTTCTGGGAAATACAGGTGAGTGAATCTATGACACTAGTCGTCTCAACATATGTATATGTGTAAGATCAGGCACTTATTACTATCAAAATCTCAGTGGTTCGATGATGATCATTTCTTGTCCTCTGAAAGACTTGTGGTTACGCATAACACATAACCGCCCTCTCTCTCGAAAGCTGTTTCGTGGAACGGCAATTTCGTAGTCATTCGAATTCAAATCAAATTGAATGCAAACTATGTTCTATAAAAATGCATAAGGATATATAAATAGTGATTGCATCATTTGACTTTTAAAAAGGCTTGTCTTTTTGCTGTTTAACTGCATTAAATTGTTGGCACGACCATACCTGCACGGTGGAAATAGCGCTCAAGTTGTTTCTGAGTTTGACACAGCCCAAACTATTGCCTGATGTCCACCTACTGACTATGGCTCAATAACGGTTTTAGACCAGTCTGAAGAATAAGGATTGTGATTTGCAGTTGGTGGTTAGGGATAGTGATTAGATTGAGGGTTTTCACTACGAACTGACATCAGCTAAAATGTTAGGACGCTATTTAGCCAAATGGATAGCTTCGCGCCGAAATCCAAGACCTGTTATCGTAAATCGGATTGGTTCGTCCATAAATTATAGTCTCGCCGTTTTCAGTTACTCAGTTCTACTGTTGTAGATTTTACGGAATTAGTGATTTTCTTTCTACAGTCCACTTGGAATTATTTGCCTGATCTATTTATCGTAACACTGTCAGAACTGGTCTGAACCATCACCCAGATTGGCTATACATCATGAATGAGCGTTAGATACGTCAAGTTTCTTAGGTCTCACCAGTCCTGGTAAAGGATTAGTTTCCGATTAAATATCAAGGGGTTTACACGGTAGGAATATATGGCTGTGGAACATGGTCGACAAGAGGTAAACACAGACGTAGCGTTCGTGCTTCTGATGTTAAGCGTCTCGAAAACACTGTTCAGGTGTTACAGGACGACCAGGTAAGCAACTCTGAGGTTATACGCAGGGTACTAGGGAAGATGGAAAATAACCTGATGAGACCATGTATGTTCACCGGTTGAGATGTTGCCGGCATGTGTTACGTGTAACCAACCAATACCGACCACGTCATGCAATTTTGGCAAACTTAGAAAAACACCAGGAACAGCTAAACAATGGCCTGAGGTCAGTTCACTGTTTCTGACTGTTGGTCTGGACTACGTTTGTAACTACCTAGTTGGTATCTGCACAATAATGCCAAACACTGGTTATAGATGATTAGTGATATGGTTCATACGCAGGTGTTGTATGCTAGTCTTTCTCCACATACCTCTTAACCGGTTTTTAAAAAACCACAATCTTAATGTTTATTATGACTAGACCATTGAGGAAAAGACAAAACAGGGTTACAAGACTGTGTGCATAGAAATAGCGATATGTTTTAGAATCCTAAGCCATAAGTGTTTCTATTATTCAGTGAATTAGTAATGGTGTGGTTTGCTTTAAAGTCCGCATTTTACAAAAATCATTTTAATTAACGAACTGCGAATCAGTTCGTCCTGATTTATTTCACGCTGCGAAATGTGATCATTAATAGTAGAGGATACTCGTAAGTTACTAGTACTTGATCAAAGATGTCGTGGAAACATTGCTCGAATCACCGGGTAAGTTATAGTGAGGCTAGACGCAGAGAATGATGGTAAGTCAGTTGATGAGGCTGTGAATCTTCATTGACTGAGATGATCGGGCCACGTACTACACATGTTCAACCACCGATTACCACGGCACGCAATGCTGACCAGTGTTGGGTGCGGATAGAACAAAGTTAAGGGCGGCTAAACCGAAACGTAGCATCAGTCTTTGAAGTCACTAACTTCTGGTGTGGACCATGTTGGTAGATGCAGATTACTTGGTTGGGGTCCGCGCGACTATCGTAAGTAGTATATATATAAGCATTGAAGTAACTGCTTCTATGGATTTGGTGTTCATCTTGTTGTGTTAATAAGGTATGGCAACTTGTACTGATATATATATGTGCCTGGTCTTACCGACTGACCGTTATGAGCATTACCCTTTTTCACCGATTCAGAATCATTTTCCCACTAGTTATATCTTGGGTAAAAATATAAGTCTTATTATGAGGCTCTTTATGTGATGTAATAGAAAGTCATTTGCTTTTAAATGAGCCTGGAATTCGTTCTCTGGACTCCAGTCGCTTTGGTCCTACATTACAGTGATACCTGTTATCTCCTGTCTTTTGAGATTGCTGTCTCTTGGCTGAATGAGTTACTGGCTCCGAAATTATTTTTCCCTTCATGTATTTATCGTAACGTCACCAATTACAAACTTATAGAAGCTAGAGGCTTGGTCTTGTGTTTGACATTCGACCATTTCCACTTTGATACTGTTTCGAGTCGTTTAATAGCTCCTCCGTAGCTCGCGCATTTTACTATTGCTATCATCAACCATCTTGTTACTTGGCATTCTCATTTCCCCATTGTTATGCTGGTAATTTTCTTAATATTATGCAAATGGGATTTATGGAGAGAAGAATGGACATACACAGATGTACATAAATATACATACAGACTCCTGTATATTCTCCCTTTAACCCGAAAGATGTGGAAACCGAGGGATTCCTATACGTGTTATGGAGTCATCAACTTACACTAAGGTAGTAACTTTCTTTCCACGTTTCTCATTCCTCCTTTCTCTAAAGTAAACTATCACCATCAAATGTGCGCAAACGTTTCATTGAAGTCTACCTTACTAAAGAGCCTTTTTTTTTCTTGATTATTTAACATGCATTCAAGCCCATGAAATTGAACTGTTTGTTGACTGTGTATTCAGATTTATTCAGCTAAGTCATAAATCCAGCATTGTGTTGTTTATATATCCGTACATAGAAATATATCGAATTGACGTTATGTTTACTGTCAACATGCCTTATCCCAGAAATATATTGGCTATAGTGGCGTTTTCTTTGTGAAATATTTTTGTTTGATATAAATTTAGAAAACGGACCAAGCTAGATAAAGCCTTAGCAATTTATTGGTTAGTCCTTTCATGTAACATCCACTAGGATTAAAGGTTCACAAACAGAATGATCAAAAGGTAAGGTTTTCAAGCGAAAGAACAGTGATTTCATTTGCTTTGTAATCGCTGTTTTTGCTTGAGATAAGTCCTGAGGGATATAGTATAAGTTTAAGTAAACCAAGCATTTGTAAAAGGAAAGATAACTGTCCAAAAGTGTTTTTTGGGTATATTCAAATAACTGTGAAGAATAATGAGTTGTTCGCATCAGATGATGAAAAACATTGTTCTTAGCAGTTGCTTCTTTAAACTTATTAATAGAATCATTCCGTTGAAACTGATAATTGTAACGTTTCATTTAGAAAGTAATATGCGGAGATCTGCAGCACCAAGTCGTACTAGTCAGTCTCAAGATCTGTCGATAAATTCCAACCCCGTGAAGACGTCTGAGTACAAGTCAGTTTCACACTGTTCCTCAAGTCCTAAAATGAACAATACGCCTACAAATTTTAATTTATCTCATGCTACGAAATGTTCCAGGTATTTCGAGGCTGTATATGCTAAAGCATCGACTAAAAAGGTATGGCGAATATCGTTTACCAGTTTTGCTTGCATTTTAGCATAAAAAATGGGAAGGGGATGGTAAGCAGTCACCAGTCTTGTTTATGTCTACGTAATTTTTAGGTTTTGTAGAGGTCGAAGGTCGTATCATGAAGCTTATCAATGAGGATTTGAAAGTGTAAGTGTTACTTTTTTTAATAAAGGTAAATTTACCGGTTATTTTCCAACTATAGAATAGCATCTGCTTCTGGTCATAAATTAGCATTTTTAAATGAAATTGATATTGGTTCGGTTGTTCATATTGGGCCTTATGAAGCAGAGCTTATTTCACTGATAGAGAAGCCACAGTTAGTTAATCTTTCCTCAAAATCAAATGATGGTACTGAGGCGTTACATGCACCGGGTAACTAGTGTATTGTATTGTATTTATTTTGTCCTTATTTCCAGCGAAAATTTCGACAAGAAAACCAAGCACAAATCCCAGTTTCTCACCAAAGGTACCGTTTACATGATATCTATTCCCGGAATAATTTTTATTTCAGAGTCCATTTTAACTTCAATCCTTTGATCTCTTAAAACCTTTTAAGGATAATAGTTTTCCGCATTTGATACCCTTAAGATCAACCTAGGAGACTAGTAAATGATTACACTGATGTTTCGTTCTAAAATACAGAAGTTGAAGGTACATCTGCAGTTGTATAAAGTAAGTTTTCTGCCTTAAAACCTTAGTTTGACGGATGGAGTTGCTGAGACCATCTAAACAAGGAAAATAACTTCAAGATATTATAAGAGAATTAGTTGATAAACTTAAATACTAAGAGACCTTGACATACGTTTAAAAAGTTTTATGTTGTTAGGGATTGCATGTGGGCATTAGTTATTCACTAGTCATTTCTCTGTGTAAGTCCTTGTGACAAATTGCCGTATACTTCTATCCGTTGATAAATCGTACTGTCCCATTTCAATTTAGATTTTCAAACAAAACAGAAAAAACGGTCGGATTCTGAATGGCATTTAGAATGAATGAGTCAAATGCTAATTTTCATAATAAACACATTTCAAAGTGGTTTGTTTTCCTGTTTTTGCTGCATCAAATTTGTTTCATTCCACCGTCTAGTTTCAGTCGTTAAGAAAATTTACTTGCTCTGTTTAAGGGAATATTGAATTAGAAAATAATATGAGCCCGATAAACTTTAAGAAAAATATTTGGGGCAGAGATTGGTCGACTTTCATCATGAATATTATCGTTTCTTATCAAGTTTCATTTCTAATTACTGGAAACTAGTGTATTCATTATGATTGTTCTCATATTTACATAGTATTATTATTATAGGAAAAAGCCTGGTATGATAGGAGACCGAGAAATTTCCCACAAAATGTGAGCTAACAATATTGTAGGAAAAAGGACATAAAAACTTAAAACTAGTCAGTAAAGAAATAAATGTAACAAAATAAATGTTTATCAAACAATACTGATGGGTTCTTAACGCAACAAAGTTATATTTCACCTCATACAAATGCTTCTTCAATAACATTGCCTCTAAACGAATTGAGGGCAGCCTTGATGTATAGACAGATAGTTTTCGACATAGAATACATATGATGGTTTCCAAGGAATTGGCAGAAGTTGAATATTTGACTGACCAATCTATACCTAAACTAAGACCTGTTTTCAGAGTATTACAGAAATGAATATTCTAGACACGACTGATAGATTTTAAACTGGCGATTATTACATGCATTTGTAAGCTCTTTAAAAATGAATACAGCAGCAGCAAACCGTGACTAGTACATAGCAGAGATGTGGATGTTCGTGAGTATTCAATGAACATAATGTTGACTAGTGTCTGATGATCAGTTTTTTAAATATACTAGTTCTGGATGATAAGGACTAGCTATCTTTTTGTTAGTAATGCAATTAAATTGTACGATTCTCACTTTGGCTTTGTGTCTTACACGTCCTAAATATCTTAGTTAATTTTCTAGCACTGATTTATAAATTGCATGTATATTTCCATATTATATCTCACGTTGTGTACAACATAACCTCGATTTTGGTGTCTTGTAGACGAATTCCAAATCAAAACTGAATGAGTCCTGGGGTTCTTCAAACCATCTGGTTATGCCCAAGCCTCCTGCTAATTGCATTGTAAGAGTAACAACTTAATTCTAAACCTCGTCATTTATTCACTTTTCTACTTATGATCGGTCAAATACAGGTCTTCATAATGTCAAACTATTATCTAATGCCACATGTTTTCAAAATTTTGATGTAATTTAGTCTGATGGAAATTTAGGTATATGACTTATTATTTGTTTATTGAATTCTCAGTACATTTCCTATTCATTTTGTATTGGTTGTTCGGATCTTCCAATTGATGTTTAGGACTGAAATTGATCAATCTCTCATTGGCTGAATTAAATGAATTAAAACTTCACCCCATTGCACAAGGTAGTGGCTATCTGGACTCAGTAGCTAAATGGATAACGCGATGGTGTTTGTAGAAAACGGTACTGGGTCCGAGTCTCCGTGGTGAACATTAACTTTGAGATACATGTACATCCAGCTGACAAATCTCAAATAGGACGAAACGTGCGTCCTAGATTTCAGTGCTAGCCACCATCCATCTCTGCTTATAATTTCCTATCAGGTTTTGATCATTTTAACACAAGATTACTGCTTATTAAATCCATTCTTTTGAATAATAATGATGACAAGTATAATTCTCGTATTTGAAGTCAGACGAATAATGATACTTATCGACTGACTTTAAGCCTCGAAGCCCCTTGAAAGTCGTAGCTCAGTAAAAAGTCTCTGTTGTGTCTGTTTACCGTTGCTATCAAGCCTCCGATCGATTGAAGCTAGGTTGGGTACCGGCTTAGTGGTCTAAATGTTAAACGCTTGGCACCAGAACTTAGTGTCATGCGTTCGATCTCCAGTGGTGGTATCGTGGATGAACCCTGCTTAGGAGTTATATACTGAGAGGAAACAGCTATCCGATCTTTGTTTTTAATAGCTGTCTAACTAAGATTAGTTCTTTCTGTAAATTATGAACAGTAAATGTTGAGATTCATTAAAATATATTAATAAAATTGATAACTGTCGCTTGATTTTGCTGTTAATTGTTCAAAGTGGCTAAAAAGAAACCTAGTTTCATTGCACTGTTAAAAATAGTTAATTCGATCCCATATCATGATCAGAAAGCCAGACAAATAATTGAGATACCTTTATACATACATTGCTCAATTGTATTTCGGTAAGAAGAGTATAAATATCAATTAATCAACTCGTTCTTTTTTGTATAGACTTTTCAAAGGTTGATCTCTCGTTAGTTTACTTAGTCTAAATGATTAAATTAATTGTTTTACATAGGTGCCTTTTAAGTTGTCTTTGTAGTGATATTGGACTCCTTGATGACATATATATTTGCTGAGCGTTTGACGTCGTCCACATCCCTTGCATCAAATCGCAACAAATATCCATGTACGCTCTAAGCTCATGACCAAATATCATGCACAGGTTATCAGTAGCGAATAAAAAAATAATTCTATTACATAAAATCACAACAGATAATATCAGTAGACTCTTTAAACTATGGAATAAATACTGATCGTGAATAAAATCGTTCTAATAAACGTCATGTATCCTCATACATTCATTCTACATTGATGAATTTGAAGATTAAATTGATTGTTTGTGAACTGCAGCCCTATTAGTCAGTATGTATATATCCACTAATATGAGTAAATGTATTGAACAGAGCAGCCAATAAACCAGTTGTTATATTAGCAATAAAGACAGTGTCTATACAAAAAATTTACTTTCATTGCTACTCATAGAGATTTAATATTTCCAAGTTCAATGTTAATCGTTGACTTAATGGTCGACCTTATCCAGAGATTAATTCGTCGTTTTATTTAAAAAATAATTTTAGTGGTCTCAGAATCCCGACAACCTTCCTATTGTGGATGTAGTTTTAGAGTCGAAGTTTGCTTCACGTCTACAGCCACATCAATGTGAAGGTATTATTTTCTTGTATAAATGTTTAATGGGGTTTCAACCGTATGTTGCTTTAAATGAATCTGATGCACAAATTACTTATGGATGTATTTTAGCGTGAGTTTCAACTTTTTTGGTCTAAGTTTTGACCCCACGGCAAAGAAAAGCTTTATCTGTATTTTTGTACTGACATAAACATTTGTCGATCTTGTTCCATGCAGGAAAATAACCTGTATTAGAGTATTAACATACTGTGCAGATTCATCATATTCTTGATAAATATTTCATACTAATTTAATCCCCTCAATGAAATATGTGTTCACTCATTATCCCCATTAAATTGGGATTGATAAATAGAGTTCCTCAAGTATACATTGGTAAGCAAAAACCATAGTAACAGGCAATACCCGTTGCGAAATTCGTATCTAGTGTTGCTCACCATCTGCACGAATACTCTCACAGCGTATGAATTTATAAAAGTGACACAACTCTCAGCGAAAATATCAACAATCACTTTAATGGTCCATCAAATTGTTTTTCAAACCCATAGAACTATGTATTTTGAATTTTAACTATTGTTACTTAGTATTAATATTGCATATACACAAATCAATGATTATTGCTGATTTATATCTTTATTGTTGCCTTATTCTATTGAGATTTTTTGATCTGTAATGTACTATAAGGTATTTTTTCCCCGACATCAATGCCGTCGAGAGAAAAGTCTCACAAGTTTCCAGCGCGCAGAATTATCGTAATGACAGCCACAAACCATCATTTCCATGCTGGTCATGTGGAGGTTGGCACTATTAGAGGTTCTGCCCGTTTAAAGAACATTGTTGCAGTAAATGTCATCAAAAGAGCTATATAAAAACTAGCTGCAGTAAAATAAATCATGAACGATATTCTGCAAATCCTTACTTCAAGAAATACAGGTCCGGCGCATTTACAGAAAGAATATTGGTATCACATAACCAAGCACGAAATTGCTGCCAAAGAAAGTACGTAACCTTAGATACTAATAAATACCGTACTCGCCTTCAGCTTGATACAGCTTCTATTATTACCCTAATCAGCCCGTGAACTTGGAAGAAAATAGGGATACCCACAGTTCTCCCAACAACACAACTGGCACACAGTGCATCTGGGGGAGCTAAATATTGTTGAAGTGCTCTGCACTGTTTGTAAAGGTACTGTAACAACGAATACAACAGTATATCTTACTTACTAGGGTTAAATCTTATAAAGATACTTAAACTAGCAGACCATTCTATTGACAGCATCTGCAGATGAATCAGAACTGACAACCCTTTAGATTGGGACCAGAAAAACGCCGTGCTACAAAGACACCACAATGTGTTTAAAGAAGGATACGGAGAATGGACGAAGGCCAAAGCATTGTTAAGAAGTCGAATGGAAGCGTCCGTCTATGTGCAGACTACTTTACCGGGTTAAATGAAGCTCTATAATCTCACCAGTATCCGTTACCCTTACCCGAAGATCTTTTCGCTAGGCTGAACAGTGGCAGATGTTTTGCGAAATTGGACTTACCAGGCGCGTATCTACCAGTCCCGGTATCTGATGAAAGCAAATTCTGACGATCAACACACACAAAGTTATGTTTCGGCATAATCGACCACTTTTGGGGGCGAAGACGGCGCCCTCTATTTTCCAGAAAATTATGGATACCATGTTACAAGGCATTCCAGTGGCAGCAGCTTATTTAGATGACATTATAATTATGGCAGCAGACAAAATAAACCTGCAGAAGAAACTGTACCAGGTACTAGAACGCATAGCCAATTATGGTTTTCACCTCCGAGTGGAAAAGTGTGACTTCTATATGCAGCGAGCACGGTACCTTCGGTTCATAATAGATAAAGACGGAAGACGACCAGATTCAGAGAACATTGAAGCTTCGAGAACAATGCCTAGACCAAGGGACATTACTACCCTACGATCGTTCTTGGGATCAGTCAGCCATTATGGTACCTTGTTCCTCGATCTCCATCGTCTACAATCACCTCTTTCCTTCCTAATAATATATCTGTGGCTGAACTGCGTAGCAGATCGTTACTATGAAAGAGTTGACCTAACCTTTGTCGGTCGGTTAGGTCTCCGCGTTTACGTGCTTCTTAATGTTCCAAAACATCACTAGTAAACATACTAGTTGTTACGTACCTGTTGGAATCACGCAGTAGGTCCTTGACTACTTCGAGGAACTGTGCACGTGTGTTATTCACGCCGTGCTTGTAGGCGTCGGTCTCTGAGTAGCAGAATAAGGCTTTGTTGTTGTCTGATCAGAAGGACATTAAGCGAAGAAATGTCAAAAAAACTAATTGTAAAAAAATCTCTTGGCTCAATTCGTCCCTTCTTCTTTTACCAAATGTCAAAATGGGTATATTCACTATATTGAAAAGGACATTAGTTGAAATGGAGATATAGTTTTAGTGTGACATCGAGTCGCGGTTGACTATGATCACCACTACAGGAAAACTACGTGCCAGTTAATCGGTAAGATCCCCCGTAGGCCAAATATCGAAAGGCAGCTGATGGCTGTAGTCGATATGCATTTGTTGGCGATCTCCTAGTGTCGAAAGAGTACCGAGATCGTGCCAGGTTACAAGCGTGGTTACTTAGCGTAATCGGATTCGTGCAAGGTCACAATCAACGGAAGAATGTATGTATTTTGGCACAGTTAAACAAGCAATTACGGTAAAACAATCCCTGGTACAATTGGACATAATAATACTTGTTTCCATTACACCAATCGCATTCTCTTGATAAAGGTATGTCACTACAGAGTCATAGCCTTTAACTTAAGTACATTAGGTGTTTGTTCCGTCATGGCGAATATGAAGTACAAGAATGAATAAGGAAAAAAATATATATCCAAAAACTCTGAAAAATATCACAATATATAAAAATCAAAATAAAGCAGTGATATATAGAATTCCAAAAAGTAATAGACTCACAGTTTGCAAATTGGTGTACTGGATCACGTCGGGCTCACCACAGGCGGAGGATGCTTAGCGCGGCGTTCCCACTTGTGATCTGGCGCGGATGCATGACTGAGCGCGTTCAGCTAGGTGAGTCTATTAAAAGTAACATGGTCAGCATCCAATGTCGAAGACTTACAGAGCTACTGATTCCGTTGATTTATTGACCGCTACACTTCGAAAAATGCATCGTAAAAAACCAAGAAAAGAAATAATAACTAATTAGAGGTATTCACTTATCAGAAGCATTAAATTTAAGCTGTCAGCTTGAGTTATTACTATATCAACACATTTTTTGGATATGTGTATCCGTGTTTATATCGGTCAATGCAGATGACCTGTATTATGTGTCAAATTAAACGTTTGCCTTCTGCTCTGGCGTTTTTATGTTTTTCATGTGTTATTGCATCGTACAATGTCACTGATGATATTATATTTGACTTTAAATGGCTAGGGGATTCTAAACAGCCCAGGGAGGTACTTCTTGTTTTTTTTATCGACGGTCTTGATAGAAAAGTGATGTTGTGAAAATAAGAACAACAATTGGAGAGGATTACGAATGCTTTATACCTACGTTATTCCATAACACAGAAGAAGGCGAGGCCAAAGACACAGATTCGGTTGATGAGGAAACTCTGCTACAGCCTTTGTTTGCGGAGCAACCGTGTAATGTCAGATCAGAGGCATATTGGAGTTATGAACTTTGTCATAATCGACATATAAAACAGTTTCACGAGGAAAGGAGATTGGAAAAGGTTTGTTTAGCAAAATTTGTATGATAGAAAATAGAATCCTCCCGTCCAAGAATTTTACCTGGGACACTATTATCCAAGTATGTCTTAACATTATATGATATTAATTGCTTAGATCCTAAAATGGGAAAAGAACGACCAAGCAAAGACGTATGTCCACTAATTATTATTATTCTCACTAGAATCCACCAAATATAGTTACTCTTGGGGAACACTCATATCCTTACTATGGAATCAATTATATTGATGGGACTTTGTGTGATCTAAATCAGGAGCATCGTACAGCAACTGTTATGTATATATGCCATGAAAGTGTCACTGGACAGATCGTTGATGTATCTGAAATCCGAACATGTCAGTATCAAGTGGTTTTTGCCACGAAGTTTCTATGTTCAAACCCTCTGTATAAGGTATGTCTTACTAGTGTACCAAGTACTTACAAATTACCCCCGTACAACTCTTGCTCCGGCTCAGCTTATCTTCTAGTCAGGTCTTTCTTTAAATAAGAGCCTAACAGTAACTTCGACAGTAAAGATTTGGAATTCTGATTTTATTACAGCTAATACTACGTTTGCTGCTCATATTATAAGTTCGTGACGTCTCACCTCGATTTCGTTCACTGTGGTACGTGTTTATGCATTCGGCTCTAGACACACTTTCTGTGTGGACTCGGTACCATACAGTTGTCTAAACTGAGGTAGGTGAGGATGGGTTCAAACCTGAAAGTTAGTAATTGAACGTTGAGTGCGCCAACTGCTATACATGTACCAGGTTATATGTTGCGTATGACTGATTGCGCTAACCACTAAGTCATTGCACCATCAATGTACTTATTGCTTTCAGTTGTAATGATCCAAGCAAAACGTTAGTATTAACGGAGGTTTTTAAGGTTCAATATGTTGCAATAAATTGGCGTACTCGTACTCTTTGAAAACATAATGGTGCAAACAGCCTAGAGAAGAAGAAAGTATAACGATGTCAGTTTTAGGTAGAATTACTTATTTAATGTCTTGGTAAGGCTGTGTATTTAACATTTACTTGACTTTGATGCAGCCGGAGTTGTTATGACAATAAAGTTAGGGACATTTTGGATAGCGCTCATTTATAATATACACACGTGTTACGTTATTGTATTTTGTTCTGTATACACTGAATCTTTCTTCGAAATTTCAGTTGCGCAGTGATTTTTAAGTATTTCAATAACTTTCAATATCTATATCCCTTTGTGCACTAATCGTATTTTGCAATGGTCTTTTTAGCAAAAGCGTGCCCATACCAATCCAATTTCATGTCACTCAAAAAACAGTTCACCAAGTAAACCGTCGGCATTAGTTGCTTTGGAGGCAGAACGGAGAAAGTTTCAGTCTCGTAGCTTTACTGACCTAGCTGCCCTTCTTAGCAATGCTTTTAAATCGAAGGTTAAGGTAATTTAACAATTTGTTTTTATTTTCAATAATAAAGGAACTTAACTAACCGTGGTGTACCTGGTTCATGACTTATCAAACTCTATGTGGGTATCTTATTAGTTATTTATTCAAGAAAGCATATATTTAAATTGATTGATTGTTATCTAATAGCCATAGTAACACTGCTTGGAGTACGTAAGATCAAAATTAAAATTCGGTCATTATACCAAGTAATGGATTTCCATGAATTATATTTAGTGAAAATAATTGAGTAGTTGATCCATTCATTATCCGTTTGTCGATGGTCATCGGCAGCAATCATTTGTTCTTTCAGATAGAATTTCTCGAAATTACGAAAGTAGAAGTTAGTGTCGTGTTGGCAATAAGTATGCTCTGTCATTATGATGAAAGATAAAATCTCATTTTTGTTCATAGAGGGAATTTTCGCACAAACGTTTAACGAGAAGTAAATTGTAATATGATTGTATTTGCTTTTTATGTCATAGATTTAACTTTAATCGGTTGTCGCTAAATTTAATTATTCAACTGTCAAAGGACTTGGTATCTTTATCTTCAAGTTGCTTTATTGCAATGATTAAGCGTAAATTAGCTTCTTAGCATAAATATGATGAAGTGGTTATTTGCTTTCTAAAGTAAATGTTTATACAAAACTTAGTAACTTGTAATAGTTATTTAGCTAACCAGCTGCCGCAGTTGGTTCATAAGGTGAATCATGAACGCTGAACGGAAAAGTTGAGCGTTATTAAACGTTTAATGTTTCTTGAATTTTACTCAAATCCTTTCCTTTATTTTTGTTTGTAAAACTTGTTTTATAGGTGATATTGTCTGTAAACATTCTGTATGATAGATAACCTCGATTTAACTGAAACGTTTAAGCGTGAAGCTGTATTTCAATGGTTTAACCACTCGTCGTTCAACCTTTGCATTTCAGTGTGATGCGATTTTGAGTCACTTGGCTGATTTTCCAAACTTTAAAGTTTGAATAAATTTAACAGCTTTATGGATGCTTTCTTGCTTTAGCTCTTCACATAACGTGACAAACTTTGTAGAAAGTGACAGGCAGATATTTATGTTACATCATTGGACTTCAAGATCTTTTATCAATCCCTACTATGAAAGACTACTTAGCATAAATCTTTAGCAATTCTGTGGTGAAATGTTTTAAAACCAGTGAGATACGATATAATCTATCATAATACAGTTGATTCATTTCTTAACACGTATTAGCAATAAAAGAGGTCAGTAAAATGTATCGAGAGAACTCCAAGAGTTTATTTCAATAAGCCCTATGTTAACAGGGTACAAGTCATTTAAGTAGCTTTTAATGGTAGACCGAAACATTATCTATGAACGATTTCCTTTCTGTCGTCATTAAACGTAAATGATCACTTAATTTCAAATACGATATTCTCGCTTTTTTTTCAAGTCAACAATGGTGGTAATGTGTATGAAATCCCTTGAGAAATGTTACTTTGAACAGTTTTAACTAGCTAGTCATTATACATATTCTAAGCCTCGAAGGAGACCCGAATATGAAAAAATGCCTTATCCTAATCATATTTGTTTAAAAATTTATTTAAAATTATTCATTTACAGTTAGTTGAAGTAAGTATTTATTGCATGTGCTTTACACAATGTGAACTTGTGTGTTTATGTGGCCAAGTATTCACCACTTAGTGTCTGTTTAAAATCATACAAGTGCTGCTAGTGTGATTTGACCTCCTAGCGTTTTCATTTTTGGATTGCACGATTATTTTTTTGAGAACAAAAGCCATAGATTTGTGTTTTATGCACTCAAATTTCATGTTTTTTATGATACGACAAAATCTTAATCTGTTCACAGAGGTGTGGACGCTGGACATTGCTAACCTTTAAATAGTAGATATAATTCATAGTTCAATCCATCAGTTTGCATATTTCTGCTGAGTTGTGCTATAATTTTATTATGAAGATTCACAACCTCATCAACTGATTAAACATCATTCCCTAATACCCTGCGTTTAACCTCATTATTACTTACCCGGTGATCCCAGCAGACGCCAGCAATATTTCTAAGACATCTGTGGTCAAATACTAGTAGCTTACGGGTGTCTTCTACTCTTAAGGGCCATGTTTCGCTGCCTTAAAGTAAAACAGAACGGACTGCCGCGCAGTATACTCGTCCTTTTATTGATAGACGGATATCTCGCCTTCGCCAAAGGTGACGAAAGTTGACAAAAACCAAACGAGCTTTCCGAATCCGTGTTGAGATTTCGTCAGACACCAACCCATTAGGGCTGATCAGACTTCCAAGATAAGTGAAGTTGTCAACGCGTTCGACTACCTCACTCCCCATCCTTAGTTCAGGTGTTGACGCAAACCAGTCCTGAAGCAACGACTTGCATTTAGAGGGAGAGAAGCGCATTCCAAACATTCTGGCATTGTTGCTTAGTGCTACCAAAAGACTCTGCATTTTATCAGCGTCTTCACCAAACAGGACTATGTCATCTGCGTATTCTAAGTCGATAAGTGGACCTCCTGGAAGGAGATCAATACTCGAGAATTCAGTAGACGAAAATGTTATTTCCATCAATAGGTCTATGATGAAGTTAAACAAAAATGGAGAAAGTGGACAGCCTTGAAGAACACCACTTGAGGTTACAAAAGCAGATGAAAGTTCGCCATAAGCTCTCACTCGACTGGTAGTGTTCGAGTAAAGATCTTTCACAAGGTTTATGTACTTCTGAGGTACGCCTTTCAATGACAGACACTGCCACAGAATCTCGCGGTCTACCGAGTCAAATGCTGCTTTTAAGTCAAGAAAGACCACTCTTGTCGGACACCGATAAGTATGCCTGTGTTCTAGAACCTGACGAATGGTGAGTATGTGGTCGATGTATCCACCACTAGGTCTGAAGCCAGCTTGATTCTCTCGTGTTTGCAGTTCACGAGTCTTAGTTAGGCGTTTGATAATTATCGAGGCTAGTATTTTAGATATTATATTAGTTAAACTAATCTCTCTATAGTTGTTACAGGATGATTTTGACCCTTTCTTATATATTGGGACGATAAGTGATTGTGACCAGTCAGATGGGATTACGTCTAATTCCTAGATCTTAGCTAAAATATTAGTCAACCTGATCGCTAAAATTGGACCACCATCCTTAAAGACCTCTGGAGCCAATCCATCTGGACCAGCTGCCCTTCCTCGTTTCAGATTAACTATAGCCTTTTGAACTTCTGCTAGAGTTGGGGGACCTACTTCAATGTTCCATTCACACTGTCTGGGCATGGAGGGTAGTTGTAGAGTAGCTGAGGGCCAGTTGAAATGTTCCACCCATCGTTCTAAACGTCTGGACTGGGAGCGGATGAGAGTTTCGTCTTTTTCCGAAATAATCTCACTTACACTTGACTTAATAATTCCAGTTTCTTTTATTATTCTGTAGAGCTGTCTGGTGTTATCTATAGCTGCTGCCTTTTCCATTTCTTTTGCTTTCGTTACCCACCACTGCTCACGGTCGTTCCTTAGAATTTTTCTTAACCTATATCTGATTTCTTTACGCTCTTCATCATGTTCAGAACCTGATGGGATGAGTTTACGAGAATCCATCAGTGCAATAGACCTTCAAGAAATCCATTGGATCTTTATAACTCTGTGGTTTAAATCATTGATAAATGTCACTGCTGTTTCCACAGCTGATTGTATGCCTTTCCAAGCAACATCTGGATCAACCTCGTCTTCAGAACTACCTAAGTGTGACCTCAGTTGTTCCTGGAACCTACTTTTGGTTTTCTCGTTACTCAACTTAGTTCTAACGGGTTTTTTAAATGTGGCTTTTTTGCGTCCAGTGAGGCGCAAGCAGATGCGTACCCGTATTAGGGCGTGGTCGGAGTCCAAGCAGGTACTCCAGAATGAGCGACAATCTTGTACCGACCATCTCCAACGATGACTGATGGCAATGTGGTCTATTTGAGTCCATCGTTGGTTTGGTGTAGGGGATCGCCTTGTTAGACGATGTCTCTCCTTATGCCTAAAATTTGTGTTTTCTAAAAATAAACGATTGTCTGAGCAGTTGCAGCAGACGATTACCATTATCTGTTCGTTGTGCCGGAATACTAAAATACCCACCTCAATGCCTTTCTGTTTGGTTTAAACTACCTAGCTGGGGATTAAAGTCACCTGCTACGAGTGCTATGTTTGAGCGTTTAGCTTTCTGAAGAAGTTCGGACAGCTTTCTGTAAAATTCATCTTTCACTTCATCTGAGCTGCAGTCAGTGGGAGCGTAGGCAGAAACGACAAAAAGGCAACGACGTGTGTCCCTGTCCTTCCGAGTTCTTACGGAGCCGTTTAGCCGAACAGCACATAAACGACTGTTGACGGGGATCCACTCTAGCAGTGCTTGTTCGGCCTTCATGCTTAGTGCTATGCCTACACCTGGCAGTCCACGAGAGCTGGCCATTGGGTCACCAGATACACGGAGGGTGTATCTCGTTGGCTCTCCGTTTTGCCGAGGTGAGGTCAATTGAATAACCACACTGGAATCCTGTATGCGTGTTTCGGAGACACAGCATACATCAGTGGTAATAGATTCTAGGGTTTTATCCAAGGAATCCTGCTGACCGATTCGACATAGGGTTCGTACGTTGAAGGCTCCAATATGTAGTTTGGAGCGACGTTTCAGTAAACTTGGGACAGTGTTTTGAGCACTAGAATCGTTGGCTATGGTGACACTTGAGGAGGAAGCCGAAAGAGGGAATTCAGAGTTGAAAGTCGATGTAGGGGGAATAATAGGAATTGAACAGGGAGTTAGATTATGAATACAGTGGTCTTGAGTGCTGTTAAATGTATGAGGGTAGTTATCACTTCCTGGTTGCCCACACCGTGGAAGGTTTCTACTGGAGATACCTGAAAAGGAAATTAGATTAGAGGTGGTCTTAATGACCTGAGAGCGTGACCGCAGTGCCCAAGGGACAACTGTTTGAGGTCGGTCACACACGACCTTTTTATGGGTAATTTTTGTGTTAGTTCCGTACTTGTTGAGACCTTACCGCCGGAGACGGATATCCGTTGGATAAGGTGAGGTGTGCATTTTTAGGGTCGACCTTTTCTAACCCCACCCCTCCTTGTGGGAAGGCAGCATCGCTGTCATGCTGGTTGTCTGAAGGAAACACCTTACTGCTGTCACACCTCTGTACAGTCAGCAGTACGACTTCGCCTTCGGACCTTGGGTTGCTTTTAGTCTTACCGCTCTTCAACCGACCTGTCTGACATGGTAGGACCTTGAGGAACGGTTGTTCCAGCCAGTATAGCTCGGTTACTTCACCACGATAGGCAAGCCCGACCACCACGTCAAGGTAGCAACAACATACATAAGTGCTACACCATTAATTTCTAATTATGATTTTAAAATATTAAATTCGGACCCCATATGATCTAATATAGTTCTTGTATGCTACACGGCCTAATCATCATAGATCCGCTTCGATGTACGACTATGTAGGCTTACGATTTTGGAACGACCGGACTGTGGATGTGAAACAATTATTTTCACTAGTTCTCCTTTAGTTTTACACCGTTCGTAATAGTTATTTCTTTTATCAATTATGTACTTATTTTCTACAAATCCTTCTGACAGATACATATGTTTGTTTGGAAAATAATCTTTTTAGATCAGTGCAAAAAATGGTAAAGATGTGCTTTTTTATCAAGTAAATCCGGCTGAAGATCCTGATGATGAAAGCACTTCTCAGGTCGATAATACAAAAACTAATGTAAGTGATTTTTGGATTCACTATCTTTTCTACATGAATACTGCTTTCTTTGTAAAAAAATTTTCAATAAATTTTCATAGTTAAGATGGTATGATAGTTGAGATTACCTAAAGAACAGACTACTGTTGAGTTATATTACAGATAGTGTATTACTGATATTTCGAATGTGATTTTCATTATGAAATAACATAAGCTGAAGAATTATTGTAATTTCAACTTACTTGTTCATTAGTGTCATGCTAGTTGTGAAACCTAAAAAAATTGAGTTCGATACTGTGTGAAAGGTTGTGAGTATGCATTATTTTTAAAGATTTGAAAAAACATTTTGATGCCTTTTGATTTATAATAGTTCTTCAGATTTTCAGATTTCGACATAAATTACAGTGGATCAATCACTAAGTAGTGACTAATATCATGTTTGCCTAATTGTTTGGTGCTGATCTATTTTATTCGACCATGCTTAAACCTGTCCACCAGTGTGAGTGACGTGACTTCTCGTGTATTATGCTGAGATTTTAAGTGATCGAATATAGTCGGTAGAAAACTTGTTTTATGAAATTCGATCAGCTCTGAAGAACTAGACAAACACGGCGCTAGTCACCACTCAATGATCAGTCACTTGTAAATGCTTCAGTCCTCGAAATAAGTTGTTGGTGGAATAGCTCACTAATAATGTCTGAGACTATAAAACTGGGTGAGCTGAGTTCTAATCTCACAGTGAGTATCAGTTTCTTTAGTATTCCAGGTAAGATGTGCTGAAGAGTCTCATAAAGTATGAAATATTGGTTCATGATTTCCTACCGACTACCTCTACCCCCAACCATCTACGTTAAATCTACCTATACACAATAAAGCTAAATTTATCGAGTCCAATAACCATATTGTATTTCACTCAGTTGACTAATAATTGTTATTACTGAATATTATACGATTTAATGTTTACTATCATTGGACCAATGTGCTTCTGATGCAAATCCTTGGGAGTTTTAAATATCCATAACTTTGTCCAATTTAATTATATGTAACTAGCTTCTATCATCATATAATGGTTTTGTAAGCTATACGTTAACCTGCATTCCATTATACGTCCATTATCTTATCTTTTTTTTCTTTACTTAGGTCAATGATGATGCTAAAAATAGTCACGATAGTTCAAGTTTTTCTGAATTAGATGTTGTAAATCAAGTGTCGTCTAGCTTGAAAGCACCATCATCAACATCATCTAAGATTAACCCATCTATAATGAAATCTGTCAATGATAATCAGGTTATGGAATTTCTTCAAGGCAAACTTTGTTTAACTGGTAATTTAGGTTGGTGGACATATGAAATATGCTTCAACAAGTTTATAAGACAATATCACCTGGTAATTTTGGGATTGTCTTCTTTTCATAATTATTTTCTTTAACTTGTAACTTTTCGTTTTACTCAAAACTATTTCAGTGGTTGAGATCATGAGTCAGTTGAAGCTAGACCACCATGGAAAACCTGGAAGCACTGGACGCCCGTTTCTTCCTATTGTGGGACTCCTCAGCAGTGCATATCTACGGGGGGCGGGATCGTGGATACGCACTGCTGAGGAGTCCCACAATAGGAAGAAACGGGCGTCCAGTGCTTCCAGGTTTTCCATGGTGGTCTAGCTTCAACTGACTCATGATCTCAACCACTGAAATAGTGGTTATGTTATTCTACTGTATACTGATAATTACTGATCAGTAAAAAGAAAATTTGCATATAAAATATTAATTTTTCCATAAAAGTTGGTTGAGGAACTGGGTTAAGAATATTGGGTGTGTAGTATCGATAAGTAGTTGAATCCTCTCTAACAAAAAGCAGACTATAAAAACATGGATAATTAACACCCTAACTGTATAATATCTATGTCATGACAAATTTTTCATAAATGATATAGTCTTACGATTGTTGACGATTTTAAGTTAATCATTTTAAATGTGAGGAAATCTGAAAAGTTGGCACTTTTTTTCATTTGTGTTGGTTGTCTGAATCACCCCATTGATGTTTGAATTGCGATTGATTCGTCTCTTTTAGCATATGTGCATGCTGTGCACATTTTCTTGATATTGCTTCAATTCACAAACGTTATAAGTAGAGATGACTGGTGGCTAGCAGCTAAGTGAATTATACGATGGAGTTCAAGGCAGACGCTACTGGGTTCAAGTCTCGGGATGGACAGTGACTTCGGAATGCAGGTACATTTAGTTGACGAGTTCCAAATAGGACATAACGCGCGTCCCAGATTCCACTGTTACCCATCATCCATCACTGCCTGTTATTACTACGTTTTTGTTTGTTTTCTGTGTCACTAATATATACTGACTAAATATTCTTTTATTTTCGATTCATTGTTCAAGGATGCAAATACAAAACAACTTCAAGAAATTCGTCTTGGCCATTGGGATTTAGACGCACATTTAAAATGGTTTGAAGAGAATAATGCTAAAAAACAAAAATCTTCCGGTAGTTCTAATAGGTAATAAATATCTGTACTTCTGATTTCACTTGTTTTCATCAAAACTTTATTATCATTATATAGGGTTTTGTAGAGATTATTGAATGTTGTTGCGATCACATACTTGACCCAAGTTAGAAAATTTTGAAAACTTTGGCTTACTGAACAGCTTTTTGGTCTTTGTTTTCAATATTTTTTAACTAAGGTCAGTTCGTGATCTTATTAACATTCAACAATCTACACCAAACCTTAATAATGACTATGAATAGTTGCCATCACGAATTGACTTGAATCAGGCATTCATTGACAAATAGGGTACACTAAAAATTTGTTTTGTTCTAGTATGCAGCTCTTCAGGAACTCTTACCTGTGACCTCATAGAGGACCGAACTCATACCCTTCAGGTCTCGTGACAAGCATTTAACCTTTTGCGAATTTATTTGATTGTACTTTCATTTAGTTACTTTTACACCGTATTTATTTTACAGACAAATTTCACTATACTATGGTCAAGGTGATTTGTGTACAGAAACTAACAAACTTCGAGAAGTTGTGGTTAAAATGAAGTGAGTCTTTTCGTAAAAATACTGTTTACCTTTATTATGTTCTAGTATTTTGTCTACTTGTATATACTCTCAGACGCATACGTACAATACACAAAGCTTCAGTAAGATCTAACTTTGTATTCTGAAATGTTGGTCAAGGTAACCGGTGATTGTCCTATATGAGAAGACAGACATATGTGACTACACTGAATGAAAGAGACTATCTTATTTCTAAACTTAGTTTCAGTTATGTTCCTTTTTGACTTCTCCATCTGTTGACCGTTTTGTATTGTGTATTATTAATCTCTTATTGTGACCTACATCTGGCTTTTGATCGTTATTCGCATAATGAATTCGTATCATGTGGTTGAGTGTCGTAATCTCTGTTAATCTAATGTTTAGTCTTTTTTCTTAGTCCTATTGAACTATCGATTTTCTAGTATAAATTGCTATTACCAGATCCAATTCTTACGAGTACTGCAAATACTTGTAAATTTTATCCTTGATATGGCTAAATACTATAAGATCTATTGATAGTCAGTTCGTTTTAATTCCTTTTTTGCGAGAGCAGGGGATAATTTATCAACTTTTTTAAATGTCAGATGAGTTACGTTTAATACGGTTTCAAACAGGATCATCATTAAATTAAGTGGTCCGACTCACACTTCAAGGTGCTCCCGGGATAGTGGAATCTAATCCCATAAGCTAGTGTAAGAGGCTAGGTGAAGATCGGGCTCAACCCCATTTATTTATTTGAACACATAAATATTGGTACAAGAGAGCGCCAATATATATGCGCCACACAAAACAATGAAAATTCGAAGAGAGATAGAAAAAAACTAACGAGCGCAAAAGAAAAAGAGAACGATAACGAAGAGATTGGTGTAAGGTAGTGTGGTAGTAACGAGGGAACGGAAAGGTACAATCAGAAGAAATCTTTCAAGTAAGGGAGACACAACCCCTTTTTATGAAGAAAGTAAAAGAAGGTTACAGCAGGATCGCCACTGGCTTCTATTCTGAGCCATATCTGATAACGTCTCTAGCCACTGTGTAGCACCATCTCTCAGACCCCAACCAGTGAGTCGTGGAGGACCAACACAAGCCAGTCCTTTGCAGCTTTCTTTCATCCCACGACACCATGTCATGCACTGACCACCTCTCCGCTTTTTCCGACCAGTCCCAGAGTCGGCAAATAATGCACGACGTGGAACTCTCTGAGACGACATTCGTAGAACATGTCCAAGCCACCGAAGTCGGTGTTTCAAGATGGTGACACCAATTGAATTATCACCTCTGTGCCCGAACACACGATGCCGAACCTCTGCATTACTGACATGGTGTTGCCACTGAATGTCAGCAATCCTTCGGAGACAGCGATGATCGAACACAGAGAGTCGTCTAACGTCCTCAACTCGGAGAGGCCAGGTTTCACAAGCATAGAGCAAAACTGCTCTCACCGACACGTTGTAGATCCGACCTTTTACAGTCAGACTAACATCACGAAGGCGCCAAAGGTGGCCCAGATTGGCATAAGCCGCTCTGGCTTTCACTATACGTGCATTGATCTGATCACTCACACCCCCACCAGCACTTATGCAGCTACCCAGATACACGAACTTCCGAATACGTTTATCTGCTCACTATCCAGGGTGAGTACAGGATTGGAATCCTGCCAGTCTTGTAGAAGTACTTTGCACTTCGAAGGTGCAAAGCACATACCATACCTACGGATACTGATTGCCAACTGATTAAGTGTGGATTGCATGCCTTGGGCATTATCGCACAGTAAGACAATATCGTCCGCATACTCAAGGTCGAGAAGTCTTTCTCCAGGCAACAGATCCACACCACCATTACTTACATTCATCAGAGCTGTTTCCAGAATGTCATCGATGGCAAAGTTGAAGAGGAATGGTGAGATTGGGCAACCCTGCCTAACCCCACTGCTCGAATGGAACAATGGAGTAAAGTGGTTGTATGCCCTCACTCTACCTGAGGTGTTTGTATATAGGGCCTTTAGGATGTTAATAAACTTCTCAGACACACCCTTCTTCAATAGACAATCCCAGAGAACAGTCCTATCCAACGAATCGAAGGCAGCCCTGATGTCAAGAAACACTACGATTGTTGGCCTATAATAAGTATGGCGTTGTTCTAACATTTGGCGAAGGGTGAAGATATGATCAATACATCCTCGATCAGAACGAAACCCAGCCTGCTCCTTGCGAGTCAGTCTTTCTCGGGTTTTGAACAACCTACGAAGTATGACGGAAGCCAATAGCTTGGACGCAATCGGAAGTAGACTTATCCCCCGATAGTTGTTGAAGGAACGACGTGAACCCTTTTTAAAGATAGGGACAACTATCGACTCATTCCATGACGTTGGTACACTCTCTAGTTCCCAAACCTTTGTAAACAACGTCGTCAATTCCTTAGTCAAAAAGTCACCACCATATTTAAAAAGAGCCTGAGGTAAGTCATCTGGGCCAGGTGATTTGTAACGCTTCAAGAGTTGGAGTTCCTTGCGGACTTCCTCCTCGTTTGGTGGATCAGTCGTCACCGGCCATGGAGGGCAGGACAGTCTGACAGATGTTGCCGGAGCAGCAGGCCAGTTGAACTGCCCTTCGAAAACTTCTGCTCATCGTCCAAGACGTCGATGGATGTTAGTGATTGGCATCCCATCATCCTCGTAGATTGTTTCACTCACACCAGACTTCTTATTGTCAGTGGCTCGGATGAGCTGGAAGAGCTTCCGGTAATTACCAGATGCAGTTGCTGCTTCCAGCTCATTAGCACGCTCCGACCACCAGGCCTCTCGGTCCTTACGCAAGCTTTGCCCAATTTCCTTACGTAACATCCTTCGTTTATGGTCAAACTCACGGTCACCCGGAGTCGACCGACGGGCTTCAATAAGTTGTAAGGAACCAGAAGAAACCCAGTGCTTATAAGCGGGACGTTTCGCGAACCCACAACTGACTGTACCCGCCATTTTCATGGCGTCATGCAATTGCAACCAATGCTCATCTATACTTTTCGGTGGAGTGGTAGCTAGCCTAGAAGCTAGCTCTGCTCGATACTTACTTGCAACAGAAGTTGCAACCAGCTTGCTAATATCAATCCTTTGATGGCGGTCACTTCGTTGGCCACTGAAAAGTAAGGTAAGATTTGCGCAGACCAAGGCATGGTCAGAGTCCAGATAGGTACTCCAAAAGGAGCGGCAGTCTTGTACACAATCACGCCAGCGGTAGCTGATCGCGATGTGATCAATCTGAGTCCAGGCTTGAGATGCAGAGAGAGGACGCCAGGTGGCACATCGGCGATGACTGTGCCGGAAGTTAGTGCTAACCAGAAACAGGTTGTGGTCTGTGCACAGTTGCAGTAGACGGTCTCCGTTATCTGACCTGCGACCAACGAGTCCCCATCGGCCACCTAAACGACTCTCTTCTGTGCCTAGACGCCCGACCTGAGCATTCAAGTCTCCGGCTAGTACTACAATATCTGTCGAGCGCACTTTCTGGAAAAGAACAGATAACTGGTGGTAAAACTCATCCTTGATTGCATCCGGGCTGGAATCTGTCGGGGCATAGGCGGAGATGACGAAAAGACATCGTTTCTCACGCCGATTTCTTCTCACTTTGATGGAACTTTCTAATCTTACAGCACATAACCGACTGTTAATGGGGATCCAATCGACTAGTGCTGCCTCAGCTCTAGCGCTTAGTGCGACACCAACGCCAGCAAGACCAAACGAAGATGCCACAAGGTCCCCGGATAAGCGCACGTAAAACAAGCTTTTTGAAGCGACAGATGCAGAGCGAATTTGTGGTACTTCGCCAGAGTCTTGAATACGGGTCTCGGATAGACAACAAACATCAATATTAAGACTTTCCAAAGACATAGCCAGCCCTATCTGTTGTCCGACCTGCACTAGTGTGCGAACGTTGAAGGCAGCCAGTTTGAATGGTGCACGTGGTTTCAGAAAAACTGCTTCAGTTGTCGTATTCGGTGGTAACATACAATTTTCAACCGGACAGTGATTCGAGAACGTTTAGATACAGTAGAATTTCCACCAAAGACGAGCCGCTGTATAAGTATAAAAGAGGGTGAATAATGTGGAAAATAATAATAATAATAATAATAATAATAATAATAATAATAATAATAGTAATAATGACAATAATGGTAATAATAATAGTATTAATAATGATAATAATTTGAATCAATTTATTGTTTTCGAAGCGAGAAAAGTAATTTCCATAGACATGAAGAGTTCATCATTCGTGTGTGGGCTGTGATACTGCCCGGGTGCCCAAACCGAAGCAGGTGGTTATCTTAGGGGGCCACTCCCCGAGCCTTTGACCTAATGGTCTAACCCACAAGGCAGTGGATCATCGTAAGGAGATGCAATCCCATGGTAGCCGGTGACCAACGATTGGTTCATACGCCATTTGTTCTCGCAGGATACTGGAGCCCATGTGCACCATTGGTTTGTGATCTGGTTAAAGCGCCGGACATTCGCTTTTCGTCCTCTCATTTTCGTAAACAACACCCCCGCCACGAGAAGGCAATGAGTAGGACTTCCCTGGCAAAGGCTGTATACGCGCGGCCGTGTAAGAGTATTTCGAGAGGGAGAGCGGACTCCCCACTCTCGGCCGTACCAGGGCATTCGGGGGCGGCTCAACCCCACTCTGTCATAAATTCGACTACTTTCTAATAAAGACTTATGGGATGCGCAGAACTGTAAAAATAGGGTTTTTTATGTTGGACCGGATTATCCCTAGGAATACCCATCAGGTTTGGGACAAACCAGATCAATTGCCATAAAGTATGCCGTAACCAGTGCACAGGAGTGAAAACTAAATTTGTAGTATTGAGCGTGAAGGAGCTGATCGTCAATAGACAAGTTTTAATCCAATGATTTGAAGGCAAGTACTTCATTCATTTCCTACTATTACTGGGCTCCGACTTGGTACAACGAATTCAAATCCTATCCATATCTATGTGTATACTACGAGTGTATAGGCCTCTGTTTATGCATCCTATTCATTCATTTGACGTATGCTTGCGACCTCGAACATCTATGCCTATGTGTGTACCGTGGAATTTATCAGTCTCTGACTTTTATATTGTATGTGCGTATATAACACATACTTGCGATGATTTTTACCCACATCCTGTACTGGTGTACAAATTATTGCTCTCTGCGCTTTTTTGTTACAAATTTTTCGGATAGGAAAGTCTAATGCAGCTGTGCAAAAACTCAGACTAGTAACGTGTCCATTCGCTTCACAAAGTATTGTTGCGTTGAAGTCCATAACTATAACGCGAATTATTAACGTGTCCGTTTGCTTTACTCTCTCCAGTGCTCCAGTCTCGCAAATTTTTATTAAAGCTTTTTTTTTTTCCTGAAACGCCAATCGCCCTTACAACTTATTTTGTCAGGTTTAATTAACTAACTTATTAGCATTGGTTTTTTCGGATGTCGAATGATTGAAGCGACAACTGGTAAAAAATAATTATAATCAATATTGCAAAACCTACTTCGTAACTTAAATTAGGCTTTCATGAACATCTATGCTGTATAAAAAAGTGGATGAGCTATGATCACTCGTAAACAATGTGTGATCTGACATAAATTTCCATCGATCCAAGTTTTCATACTTCATATCAAACCATTAGGCCACACAACAGACATTCGAATCACATTTCAGTGCATGGATTTATACTTCATCCTAACGAGCAATAAATAAAATATTTATGTATGGTACTTATTTAACTTTTCATATAAAAAAACTTCACCAGAGGTGTGTTCGACTGTAACACTGAAAATGACGAACTGCAACATTTTAACTTCCAGAGAATAAGTATGGTTCATACTGACTAGTATATTAACTTGTTTAATGTTTCCGTATTGTATTATTGTTCAATCTGTTTTACATTCTCTGTCCTTATTCACTTCCCTTCAACTCTTGCATATTGTTTTATGCTACTTATTGATATTCAGTAAATAGCTGTATTCCTAGCACTTTCTACGCTTATGTTGTAACACAAGTTTGTCGTGTAATATTTTGAAATATTTACCTGTACTTATAACATTTATTGTATTTATCATTATAATTACTTTATATCAATCATTGTAGCAGTTATTCTCAATTTTGTGCAATCATTTAACCCTTGTTTAAACACAATAGTTTCTATATTGCTTGCTCTTAGTTCAATTTTTGCTTGTTGATAAATCGTTATCATGATTAGACACAGCCAAGGGCTGTTATTTTGCACTTATTTAGCCTTTTTTATTTCAGACAAAAAGACGCAGTAAACGCCACAAACACCTCAAAAGTTGAGGCTTGTAACTAATTTTTGTATATTTTTCGATAAAGAATCGTTACTTTATGAACTTATATTTCGCCCATATCTCAATTGGACGCTTCGATAGACTTAACAGTTATTTTGTTCAAGAATATTCGAATTTTGTTTTTACAGTTATTCTGCATTGAAATCAAATGTAAAATTACGTACTTTTAGGATAACTGATAGGAAATCTGTAGCTCTTGATAGTTTAATTGTGAACTTCCACTGCTATTCTGCACAACATCCGCGCCTACTTGAAATAGGAAGTTTTTGGAATTTATTGGTTTATACTAGTGCCTTCAGTTATACAATTCTCTGTTTTGTGTTTTTTTTGGTTATATGCTGGTAATTGTTATTGTCTATTCACTCTTATCATGAAAAGATATCATTAAATAAATTTAGAAAGGTGGTCTTTTGCCATAGAATCCAAGAGACTGCTGGTTGTGGCTGTTCATTCCTGATGTTTTATGAGTACTTTACGCTGTATTATCTCGCACTTCAAACCTTACCGTCGGAACCAGAATTCTACGTGAAAAGTGGAGATGTTCTAGTTTTAGGATCATTTTTTATAACCCGTTCTTTCCTTTGTGAAAAAAACAGTAGCATTTAGGATTTTGATTACTCTTAGGGAGCAGCTTGGTATCACTATACCATAACACTGTCGGTAGTGCGGGTTATCCCTCAATACTTAAACTGAGTTACCTGGTATAGTAGCCACATATAGTATAAATATTCCAGTCAACTTAGATTAATTGCTTTAATTAGTGGTATGATGAGTAAATCTTAAATCTATTGGTGAGTTATTGATTTAAAAAAACTTTTAATGACCCGATATCTGACTCCAGTTATATCATATGATGATTGCTGTCGAAATATTCGTCCCGGTTTCCCTTGTTTATAATTATCGACTTAAATCACGTTATGGCTTATCCGAGTTAAATAAGTGAAATACGAGGATGGATTTTGAATTCATATATTTCATTCAATCGTTCATTCAAACAGACAATCAGAGAAACGAAGCAAAGTGGAGAGAGCAAAGCGAAACGGATTGGAGAAGGCATGTGAGCCAACTCGTTTTGACTAATCTTGATTGAATATTTATATTTAGACAAAAAATAAGTCACAGACACGTAATGAATAGGGTAGGTAGTTAACACACACATACGATCATATAAAAACAGTCAGGACTTATAAACGAATAAGTGACAAGGTCAAAATGTAGTTTGAGTAGAATAAATAAATTGAACTGTTTAAGAGCTAGAGTAACTTATGTGAGCTTGACATAGTTATCAGCCACTACAAACATCCTATAATCACTTGTTTGTTATCTAATGGAAACAGAACTCAAATATAGTATTCTCATGAAAAATAAAATATTCATTGTTTTTATATATGTGTATGATGTACATCTTTTAATTTTTTTTGCTTTGGAATAATTTCTAGATGTTTACATTCAACAAGTAAAGATATTTACTTGTCATTCTCTGAGCCTACAAAGTGTATATATTCAATGTCGGTACGTTTAAAGTTCTTATTTCTTGAATATAAACTAATCAATTAGTTATTTGTTTTAAATGTACAAACTAGGCGTTGTATTACTCAATTAGTTTTTAACAAAAAACTGAAATGAATAAAGTGAGTGGACTGATGATTTTTTGATGAACTACTACACAAATTTCAATCAAATAGATTTAAAGAAAGATAGGATCCCATTTTGAAGTTAGTTACTAGTGTGCACATGATTATTATTGTTATTACAGGTGTTTCGTGGAGATTTTTGAATTCCCATTAATTACATCGCTGATTGATTTTAGTCAGACAACCAATAATATTTGGGAAGCACTAGATAGCTGTTTCGTCCTAGTGTAGGAATCCCTAGAAGTTACTCCTAATGGAGCATAAGCCACCGACCAGCATTCTCCAACCCACTCTGTCCCGGGCCTTCTTTTCTAGTTCCATCCAATTCTTGTTCAAGAATTTATTGAGGAAATACTCATTATTTATTCATTTAGTTTTGTGAGCATTTTATTAAATTGTCATATATGAATTTCATCAGTTTTAAAACAACTATTGATAACTAATAAAAATGTAACTAGGCAGGATTAGGTAAATGTACTTTAATAGTTAAGGTCATGAGTCAATTGAAGCTAGACCAGTATGAAAAACCTGAAAGCACTGGATGGCCGTTTCTTCCTACTGTGAGACTCCTCAGTAGTGCGCATCCACGATCTCGGCTCGCGAGACTCGAACACAGGACCTATCAATCTTGCGTCTGAGCGCTTAACCACTAGACCGCTGAGCCAGCCGAGATTACACGATGTTAATGTCTAACCTCAACCAATTCAAGAAATTGAGCGACATATCCACCATTGTCATCAGTGAGTTACTATCTTACAATTAACCCGGTTGAACTCCATTGGTCACTGTTTCTCACTAGAACTCCAGGATATACATCTTGGAGCCAGTCACCAATGAGTACATGTACTTTATCGTCATTTTGACCTTCACAACGTTATGCATTCATGACTTGGATTTCTATTCCTCACTAAATTTTATTTTGTGTTTTACCTTTCTTTTGTTTTAGGTTGAAAGTTCTATGTTTTGTGATTTGATTCCATTGGCTGATGAGAATGACATTCTCCCGTTAGATAAAGTTTAATTTAAATATCTGGATTATTATCGATGCTGTTAATATGGGGGAGGGTAATAAAGAAAACTCTGTCCTTGTCTTTATCATTATTACTATTAATACTGTTATTATGTTTTTTATATTTTCCGTTTATTTTTTTGGTAAACTTATAGATTCTAGTGTCTATTTAGATGTATACCTATGTACTCCACACACACACACACACCGGCCTTATAAACTTTTCTCCATTCTTTTTTTATCCATTAACTTTTCTTATTCATTTTATTCTATTCTAAAATTGCACCACTTAAGTAACAATATACTTATAACCTAAGTGCTTTCACTTTGTTTGTTTCACTTCATTTAATTAACATGACATATTTCTATTTAATTTCATGACGTAAAATATAGTAGTTACTTTTCTTCTTTAACAACAATTTATTTTTATTGATATATATTGGTTGATTGTAACCAGACTCAACTTTGCTCTGTTTCTCATTGAAATATGTCAATAATTAAAAATTATAGTCTTTATATATGTTCTAGTTGTTCTTTTTACTATTGTTATGAAAGTATACATATATCATAGTTCACAGCAGTTTTATCGGAAATGGAAGTCAGTTTGTATAGGATAAAACCTTAAAACATCACTTCAAAAGAGGTTATTAAAGATAAAACCAGATACTTAAGTGGGTATTTTCTAAAACTAATATTCTGCATGAAAATTTTGAATTGAGGGTTGTATATGAGCATCAAAGAGGAATTCATGAATATTACAAAATACATGTTCAGTATTTTTTAAATGTTCAATGATCCTTCTCTGTTGATATCACTTTACTATAAAAAGTCTCCAAATATGATTATTTGCAATGTTTATAACATTTTAATATATATATACTTTTTTAATGGGAATGAAAATATGATTTATTATGTATATAACACTTGCATAATAAATTTTGGAAATAAGGTGTTCAGCTTAGACAAAATCCAACTGACATTATTGTTAGGATGTGCAGAAAAATATACCAATAGTTATCATGTTAAGTCTAATGTTATCCTTGGACGTTAAATGTACATTACCTATTGGTCGATATTTACTTCACTTGTTTAATATTGTGTAAATGTTGTTTTCTATTTTTATGGTACAATGTGGTATGTTTGGTTAGTATATAAACAGAGTGTGTCTGAAATACAGTGATTCATATCTCAGAGGCTGTGACTTTCGTTCTGAACTCAACTGGCTGGGATAGACAGGGAAGCAGGGCCAATCGGGACTCTAGGTCGTCCGAAAGTGTTTACGTGTCACAGAAGCGATCGATATAAACGCTGCTTATCAAAACCTGCAGTCTCACCCACACGTTACAACAATTATTGAGTTCATTTACGTGAAACTTCGAATTCTAGCCGTTGAAATGCGTTGTTTCACATCTGTAGTTCGGTTGTCTTGTTTGTGTTATATTATCGTACTTGAAAATGGATATGCGAATAATACCGTAAAATTTTCTACAGGATCACAAATATGGTTGTATAGAGAATATCAGGAAACCTACATTTCAAATGCTTATATGATCTTAGGATTTTTAGATAGGATTATCTTTTATTGTACTTCATTAATTATTATTAACTGCAAACTACTTTCAATCGAAAATCAAATTTTTATTATCGGTGTCTTTTGATAATTGAGTACAAAGTTGTTACCAAACTTATGGCTTTATACATTCTGCAAAACACACTTTCATCTGGGGTAATTTTTAGATTGTTAGAAAGAGTCAGCTATTCTTGTTAGTTATGAAGGTCATCACTCCTTATGATGGATGTATAAATCTAATTTTTGTAGACTGAAATATGTCATGTTACACTCATAGAAATTCACATTAGCTTAGGGAAACAGACCTGTAAATGTGCGGTCAAATTACATTGGTTTCGATATTGAATTTATCAAGTAGCGATAATGATAATTAGAATATCTAAGGCAATTAAAAGGTGGATTTGATCTGAGAAATGTGATGTATCTGCGCTATACATTTCGAATAATCTGATCAGGGCATTTTTATATGAAAACTAATAAATGTCAGTTAAATGTTAGTTCAAGTAAAACCGGCAACAAAGAAGAGAGAATCATCGTATAGAAAGAATAAAAAATCGTCGCATTATCTTAGGCCATAACATGACTTAAAGATTACTAGGGTAAATTCAACGTTACAACAAATTGTTTTTGGACACATAAGGGGGGGTAAATATACGAGTAGCCAATGCTTCAATAAACTGAGAATTCGTCCTTGACAATTTCTATACAACGTTTTAAAAGCTGTATTAATGTCAGTTATGTGCCCCGTTTCAATTATGTTTCACTATCGATAAACATGGTTTTCTACTTCCACAATGAATGGGCCACTTGACACTAATTGGTTTTAAAGCCATCTAGGCACATGTTCAATGACCCTTGATTGCATTGTTCGATTACTCCTCCCTATGCATGTGTGTCCACATAAACATGTAAATTAAGACTAGGTTACTGACAACTCAAACATTAATGAATCTAGTTCTAAATTCAAGAAGTATTTTGCAGGTTGATGAAATTCATTTAGAGGGATATAATCTTGGCTCCCACTCTTTTGCTATTTGTATATCATAGAGACATATGCTCACAAAAGATGTTGATAGGCCTTCCCAATGTGCTCATGATTTACTAACAAATTAAATATTAAGAGAAATTGGCGAGAAGGATCTAATGCATCTGTGCACGACTATCAAAAAGGATGACTTTATGTGTAAGGAAATTGAGAGCTTAATTTACTTGGATCAATTATCTAAGCAGTCTCAGCATCGTCACTGTTAAAACCCAGTGAAGATTAAGTTATAGGTAACTTCCGAAGACTGTTAATAGACTAATATTCTATAAATATTCTTATTGTATAATTATTCAACAATTACATTACGTATATTTGTATTCCTCTTATTATAAGCTTTATTTTGACCTATAATTTATTATTATACAATTTACGGTTCTTAATCTATGTTCAGTCTATTAATTACTATCTCCCGCGTTCACAGCCACTTTTTGGCTTATTTGTGTACACATGTTATTTTCTAATTTATGGTACGTTGTGGTTTGTCTGGTTGATATATAAACCGAGTATGTTTGAAATAAACGATTCGATTCATATTACGGAAGCTGGTATTATGTTCTGGACTCAAGTGGAAGGGCTCGGAGGACATAGGACCAATAAGGACGCTAAACTGCCCACACCGGTTGAACGTCATTGGTTGGCCTAGTGTGAAGATTTGTATAAGTCGTATTCGGATTGGTAGATAATTCGTGTGATGGAAAAGCCAGACTTCAAGGTCATAACAGTCACCATTGGGTTTATTTGTCCGCAGCAAGACTCATTTCTGCGACGTCCACATGTTCATCTTGGTAGAATTCGTACGAGTAAATTACCTCATCTGGATATTACAGATATCGTAGTTCGTGCAAATCTGTAGGGAGAATTCCAACTAGAAGTGTTGATGATACTTATTATCGTTTCTAATTTCCGGTTATTCCTGCCTAACTTTTAAATCCAGTCCAGTTGTTACCACATGCAAGCTATTGGGGATTGTGATTGTCAACGAAATTTTATCCTGTGTAATTGTTCGTTCATCTTTGGCCTTGGTAGGTTGAGCAAAATATTTTCTATTCTTGAATATAGATCGTAAACATAACAAAAGGGATACTAGTTCTTAAAATCTTTCTTAAGCATGTCGTTTTATCATCGACTACTAATACATTTTTTAATCCTATCATGATAAATTGTGTAGGAAGTCTTTCAAGTATACGCCGCCTTTAATGATAACACAATATCTTACATTTGAGCATAATGTTCTTAAAATCCATCTTGGTACGTCCCCGTGAGAATATGAAAAAATCCCTCCATTTCTGATGTATGTACTGCCTTTTTATCGTTTTCAGTATCTGATATATTTGTTAAAATGTTTTCGGGCTGATTACAATCAGTAATAACATATTGTTTACAAATTCTTGTTCGTAACTGGCTCCGTCGAGTCTTTTAATGAATGTTTTATATTTGCTTTACTCACTATGAGTCTTTGAAAGTCACCGCGCTGAATTGTGGCACTTTGACTGGTGCTTTGTAAACTGATTGCTTCTGTCCCATGTGGTTGATTTTCAAGCACACCTACTGGTTACTCTAGGGACATGTGCTTTTAGTAACTAGTAATTAACTGTATTTCCCATATAGTTATTATTATTTAATTGATTGCTCGTCATTAAAGCAGATTCAATTGACCTAGTCTTTTTTCTCTTGACAAGATATTTTTCGACTGATAGGTAGTTTTTCCTGCTGTAGTAGTGACACGTTCCATACTCGTAACGAATGAAATACAAATATTTGATCTGAACGCAGAACTAATGAACCAGCGCTTATCCGAAAATGCCAAACTACGTTTAACAAAAAGAATAAATAATATCAAAATTGCAAACTACCTCAACCGGTACAGTATGTGCCACATAGTCAAAGGTTCCTCTAGAACATACTCACGTGCTATACAACAAAATAAATAGCTAATAAACAAGAGCTCGATGCCTCAGAATCAATAAAAATATTCCCAACAAGATAAGGTCAGACACCTATATCCAAGGATCCCAGTAACCGTTTAAAGTTGGCAGTGGAAGGTCAAAATCCATGGACTGAACCACTCCGCGATCTTGAGTTTAGTCAAACATGACCTTATTGTCAATGGTCCGGTAACACAAAACAGTGAAATTAGTTAATAGAAGACAAATCACGTACCAAGATCAGATGGCGAAATCCCAGACAAGGACGACTGAAGAACATGAAGTGTGTTTAAAAGAGAGAGAGAGGTGCATGACAGAGATGGAACAAATAAATGGCAATACGGTGGAATAAAATTCGAACGAGCGACTAACAGCATGTTCTTTGCGTCACAGTCGTTCTGTCCAGTCCAAAATATCTCGCAAACACAGATATTATTTCGTATCTTTGTTTCCAGAAAATAGTGATTATAGC